GTTTTGGTGGAAGAAGCTTGGGCAGTCCTTGTGGTGGTTATGGATCTGGTGGTGGAAGTGGTGGATATGGTAGCAGGAGGTTCTAAAAACAGCAGAAAAGGGCTACAGTTCTCAGCAGGAGAGAAAGCGAGGAGTTGTCAGGAAAGCTGCAGGTTACTTTGAGACAGTCGTCCTAAATGCATTAGAAGGAACTGTAAAAATCTGCCACAGGAGGAATGATGATCCATAGTCAGAAAAGTTACTGCAGCTTAAACAGGAAACCCTTCTTGTTCAGGACTGTCATAGCCACAGTTTGCAAGAAGTACAACTATTGATTAATGCAATGTAGTGTCAATTGGATGTACATTCCTGAGGTCTTTTATCTGTTGTAGCTTTTTCTTTTTCTTTTTCTTTTCATTACATCAGGTATATTGCCCTGTAAATTGTGGTAGTGGTACCATGAATAAAAAATTAAGGAATTTTTAACTTTTCAATAAAAAAAGATTATCTTTAGCAATTTTGTTATTTTTTAAAGAATTATTTTATTTTATCTATTCATTCATCCATTTTTAATTTGACCAGAGAGAGACACACACAGAGAGAGAGGGAAAGTGAGAAAGCAAGTCACCAGGTCTGGGACTCCAACCGTGGTCAGCCATGTGGGAGCATCTAGCACCCTTAATCACCATGCCACCTGCTAGTCCCAATTTTATTATTTTTTTAACGCCAGAAGGCATGTGTACATGTGAGAGAATGCACTCCACCACAGGATCTGGTCATGCCATGACCCTTTTTCCTCCCATTCATTATCCCATCAGGACCCTGCTATGTGCACACGGGTATATCTAAAGGGCTGGGATTTGAACCCCAGTCAGCCACGTGGGATTTGGCTTCCTCTGCATAGTGCCTAATTGCTGTGCTATGGGGCCAGCCCCTTAGTAATTTTATTAATTTTCATAAAATAACATGAAAAGTTCTGTTATATTTATTTTAAAAAGAATTGTTTATTTTTTATTTTTTAAAAAAGAATTATTTTATTTAACTTTATTTATTTTAATTTGACCATTGAGAGACAGAGTGAGTGTGAGAGAGAGAGAAAGCAAGCCACCAGGTCCGGGACTCAAACTGCAGTTGACCATGTAGGAGTCCAGCGTCCTTAACCACCACACCACCTGCCAGACCCAAAGAATTGTTCATTTAATTTTATTTATTATTTCTCAATTTGATCAGAGAAGACAGAGAGAGAGACAGAGAATGAGAAAGCAAGCCACCAGGTCTAGGACTTAAATCATGGTCAGCCATGTGGGAGTCAGTGCCTTAACCATCATGCCACCTGCCACCCAAAATGTATTTTTTTTTAAGAATTATTTATTGGGACTAGCATATGGCATAATGGTGATGTCACTAGATTTCCAAGTAGTCAACCATGGTTCGAGTCCCACATCCAATGGCTTAAAACTCACGCCAGGGGCAGGCAGGTGGCGTGGTGGTTGAGGGCACTGGACTCCCACATGGCTGACTGCAATTCAAGTACTGGACCTGGAAGCTTGCTCTCTCAGTTTCTCGCTCTCTCATTCTGTCCCTTTCTGGTCAAATTAAAATAAATAGATAAATAAATAAATAAAGTTAATTAAGAAATTGAAAAAAAAAAAAAAAAACCCTAATACTAGGGGCATGTACATACATGCCCAAAATTCTGCAAGATGAATAGAGAAGGGATTATGGTGTGGTCATCCCCCATAGGGAGTGATTTCTTACTTTCTGTCTCTCTGTGTCTTTCTGGTAAGCACATGCCCCCTATAGCAAAAATCTCTCTAAAAAAATAAAAAGAATGATTTATTTTATTATTTTTTTTTTAACTTGACCAAAGAGAGACAGAGAGAGAAAGGGAAAGTGAGAAAGCAAGCCATCAGGTCTGGGACTCGAACCGCTGTCAGCTATGTGGAAGTCCAGAGCCTTAACCACCATGCCACTGCTTGTCTCAGTTCTATTTCAGCTGGAAATATCAAAAGTCATATTGGAACTATTACTTAGTGCCTTTCAGTTTCCATCAACTATGAATAAATGTAAACCTAGAGTAGTTTTTTAAAAATAATTATTTTAACTTTATTTATTTATTTTAATTTGATGGGGGTGGGGGGGGGAGAGAAAGCAAACTGCCAGATCCAGGACTCAAACCGTGGTCCACCATGTGGGAGTCCAGCATCCTTAACCACCACGCCATCTGCCAGCACCAGCCTAGAGTAGTGTTAGGTAATATTTATTTTCTTAAAGTTCTCAAGGACTCAATAGTGAAATACTGCGCTGTTTAAAATTACCTTTAGAGGGAACCAGCAGTTAGCGTAATGGCTATGTTGCTGGACTCCCACGTAGTCGACCGCGGTTCGTGTCCCAGACCCGGTGGCTTAAAACTCACGTTGGGCACGTGTACATGTGTGCCCAAGATCCCGAGAGGAGAATGGAGGAGAAGGGATTGCGGCGTGACCATCCTCCCTGGGGGGTGATTTCTCACTTTCTGACTCTATGTCTCTCTCTGTCTGTCTGGCGAACCTACACGCCCTATAGCGAAAACCTCTCAAAAAAAAAAAAAAATTACCTTTAGGGATTGGCAGGTGCTGTGGTGGTTGAGGCACTAGACTCCCACATGGCCTAGCACGGTTTGAGTACCAGACCTGGCGGCTTGCTTTCTCACTTTCCCTCTCTCTCTGGTCAAATTTTTAAATAAATAAATTAATAATAACAAACAAAATTAAATAAATTTTTTGTAATTTCCCAAGAGTGCCTTTTTTAAAAAGACTTTTCTATTTATCATTATTTTTTAAACAATTGTTTATTTAACTTTATTTGTTGTTATTATTTTTTAAATTTGACCAGAGAGAGAAAGGGAAAGGGAGAAACCAGGCTGCCAGGTCTGGGACTCCAACCCTGGTCAGTCATGTGGGAGTCCAGTGCCTTAACCACCTTGCCACCTGCCAGCCCCTCATCATTTTTTTTTTTTTAGTTTGCGACATGGCTTGTGTGCTCACTAGAGAGAGAGAGAGAGAGAAAACGAGAAAACAAGCTGTCAGGTCAAGGACTCAAACTGCAGTTGACCATAGGGGAGTCTAGCATCCAAACCACCACACAACCTGTTGGACTCAATAATGCTTTATTTTTATGTAAATATTCTGATAACCCTCAAATCTTCATCCTTTAATGATGGATTTTACTTCTATAATTATTCAAATGTCACTTATGGGGACCAGCAGATGGCATAATGTTTACGTTGTTGGACTCTCCCAGAGTCCACCCCAGTTTGTGTTCTGGACCCAGCAACTTAAATTCACATATGCATGGGTGCCCAAAATCCTGAGAAGAGAATGTAGGAGAAGAGATTGCAGCAGTCCTCCCCTCCTCACCCCGGGGAATCATTTCTCACGTTCTGTCGCTGTCTCTCCATCAAGTTTATGCGTCCAATAGCAATAAATCTAAGACAAACAAACAAAAATGTAATTTATGGTAAAGTGGGTGCTCAACAGATAAAAATGTTAATCTTAATCAATTTTAAAAAAAATGTATAGTAGCTTGCATACACAAGTGACAGTGAGACAGATGAACACTCTTCATAGGGTCAGGTCACACTGAGATCTCCTGTATCCAGTCCTCCAATCCACAAAGTCTTGGGCACTCCCACAGGTGCTGGGCATATAGGCATATTTTAGGTGGAGTGGGCCAGTGATCCCAACTGTGGTCACCATGTGGGATCTGGCTTCTCTTGAGCAGCACATTTACCGCTGTGCTGCAGAGCCAGCCTCTTATTTATTTTTTGGAGAGGTTTTTGCTATAGGGTATGTGTGTTCACCAGAAAAACAGAGAGAGACAAAGAGACAGAAAGCGAGAACTCCCCCCCCCCCCCCCTGGGCGGACGGGAAAGCGAGAACTCCCCCCCCCCACCCTGGGAGGACGGCCACGCTGCAATCCCTTCTCCTCGGTTCTCCTCTTGGGATCTTGGGCACACATGCACACGTGCTCGGCGTGTGTTTAAGCCACTGGGTCCAGGATTGAACCGCGGTTGACTACATGGAAGTGCAGTGACATAGCCATTACTTCAACTGCTGGTCCCCTCTTAGTCATTTTTAAATTAGCTTAAAAAAAAAAAAGAATTATTTAATTTTATTGTTATTTTTAAATTGTTGATCAAGTGCCTTAACCATCACGCCACCTGCCGACCCCTAAATTAACATTTTTATACGAAGAACATATATGTACTTTTCCTGACCACTCCCTGAAAATACCTTCACAAATAAGGATACAGGCTCTATTTTAACACAACACCCCCATAAGTCTGATTCCCTTCCCATATTCACTGTTGTCAATTCAGTGTATATTACTCTAGTTCCTTGTGTTAATTTGAATACATCTGTTCTTTCTCTAGTTACTTATATAAGTGTGTACCATAATAAAAAGGTATTGTTTTGGGCCAGCAGTAGCATAGTGTTTAGGAATGCCAGACTTGGCTGACCTGTAAGTCATGAGTCCTGATCTGGTGGCTTGCTTTCTCACTTTCTCTCTCTTTCTGGTCAAATTAAAATAAAGTTAAATGAAATAATTCTTTTAAAAAATGGTATTGTTTCAAGAGATTTCTTGTGGAAAAAATATCACTAAATACATATTTTTTGTAAATTAATTTTTAAAAAATATTTATTCATTTATGCACTCATTTATTTTAATTTGACTAGAGAAAGACACAGAGAAAAGGGGAGGGAAAGGGAAAAAGCAAGCCACCAGGTCTGGGACTTTGAACCGTGGTTGACCATGTGGGAGTGTCCAGCACTTTAAGATCACGCCTGTAACTTAATTTTTTAAAAATCCACTCCAGTATCTCTCGGGAGCAACTTTCCATATAGCATAGTTTTCTTTTAAAAATTATCTTATTTAACTTTATTTATCCAAATTTGACCAGAGAGGGATAGAGTGAGAGAGAACAAAAGTGAGAAAGCAAACTGCCAATCTAGGACTCGAACCGCAGGTGTGGGCCATGTCCATGTGGGAGTCCAGCGCCCTTAACCATCCACCACCTGCCAGCCCCAGTATGGCAGTTTTCTGTAACTGGATATTCCATTGTGAATTTAGCCAGCTCCTCAGCTGAATGGGAACAAGTCGAAATATAATATCTGTACTCAGTTGAATGCTTACAGAGAATTCTGCCATCATTTCCTTGTGATTTTAAACAAATGCGCTTCTGTGCTTCATTTGTAAAAGTTATTCTAATACCTCCAAATTGACAGGGTTGTAGTGAGAACTATAATAAATAAGTTGACATTCACAGCAGGCTCTCAGGAAGTTTCCTAATACCGTTATTTTCTTTGGTTAGTCCTGACTTTAGTCGTAGCTCCTAGATTGATTCTATTGTAGCTGACGTGCACTGATTGTCATCTTTCAGATCACTCTGAGCCAGTAGGAGTGTCTTCCTCTGACATCCCTTATTCTGCTTTTAAGGCGTGAGAATCTTCTGTCGGTTGTGACTTTCCTTTCAACGGCTGAGGTAAGCTGGACACTATACTCCGATACCCTCCTCGTAGTAGTCCATCCGCTGTTCCCGCTACCGGGAGCCCCACCCCGGTGCCTCACGTCACACCGGGAGTCCTGGCCATTGGCAAGGTCCATGGCGGCCGGCACAGCCACAGCCACCGCCATCCCCAGGCTGCCCTCGGCTTCGCGCTCCCGGGTCGCAGAGGACCCACCCGACCCCAAAATTGCGGGCAGACTAGCCTCGTGCGCCGCCCGGAGCTCAACCCGGAAGTGGCCCCTAGCGAGGCGGAAACCCCGTCTCCACCGCGCGCGCCCAGCACTGTGGGCGGGCTCTGCCGCAGGCTCCGCCCTTTCCCCCCGTTCTGCAAGGAGGGACGTGGTCGTCCGGCGTGGACGACACCTTCGTGCACGCATCCTGATAAGTCGGTCCTCTGGTGCCGGCCACAGAGCGTGGGAGTCGCGGGCAGCTGCTGGGCTCGGGG